ATAGGGAACTGCACTATCAAAACCCCAAAACCCCAAAACCCCAAAACCCCTAGATATGAGAGATGTATTAATTTGATAGTATTCGCTAATATTAGTAGAATTTGTTAAATTGATTAGATAAGTACTCTTTAATTAAATATTGGTTACTCAATCATTTTTCATAGATTTAAGAACGCTTTCAGATACGGCCCAGCTTTCTTTGCTTTCATTATCTAAACTGCAAAATCTTTCTTTAAATTTATAAACAAAAGCAAAGACAAAAACGGTTATGACCAGCTATGGTCCAAAAAGACCAAATAACTCAACAACTTCAAAAATGTATATTTGATGAATTTTCCATGAGAGATTAGATAATGTAGCCATTAAAGTAATGAATAGACCTGAAATTCTCTTGTCACAAATCTTAAATATAATTGCGAATTTCACATTAAATAAGCAGTTTGATGAGAAAGAGGAGGCTAGAGAAACTATTAGTACGTGGAAATAGGCAAATGAGGTAATTTCTGAAGGGAAATAATAAAGCAATACAAGTACTGAGTAAGATGACTAAAATAAGTTAAAATTCCAAATTTACAATAATAACACAAACAATAGAAGCCTTATAAACAAATGAGAATACATTTTTTTGCCCGAAGTAACCCTAAAAATATTTATGAAGAGAATAGTTAATTTACTGCAAGAATAGAGAAAACTATATCTGTAGGAGTCATCACAAGCTACAATACTGATAAATGTTCCTTTGGAAATTTCAGCTAAATATATTTAAGTAATTAGTTAAATTTACATCATTTACTAAATAGATTGAGGAAAGTTGTTGATCAATCATTACACCGAGATTAATTACCAAGAAAAATAATGTGAATGTTATCATGTTTTAATTTGATATGAGATCTTTTAATACTGAAAAAGTTTGGGTTAAACTATAGCTAACATCTTAGTTATGACTTTACTCTCCTTTCGCCTCTTAGTCTGCAACTTTTGCTTTTTAATTTTCATTAACAAATAGCAGTATGTAGATAGATACTGCAAATTAGAAATATGCCCAGATCAACATGAAGTTACTTATAGTCAATAGTGGTTTCTCTTATGGACTAGAATAAACATATTAATTGCAAAATTCTTCTGAATTAAAAGCCATAAACAATGAACTAGAACCCAATGAGCCAACTTTCTAGCCAATAGACTAGCAAGTTGAGGCGTAGGTTGAATTTTCATCATCTAATATCTCAACAGCCCAACTATCAACTGCTATGTCCTATTTGGAAATTAGATGATAACCTGAGTACCTGACAAGTAATAATGAATATCATAACAGTGAATAGACTAGTCGCAAGATATATCTCTTTGTTGATCAGCATCTCCTCAACTGACCCACTCATATAGAATAGCATCATACTTATCTAGAATAATTTAAGTTAAATGATCTTACCAGTATTTGTGATGGAACTATCCATGATTTTCTCTTTCCAATACTCTTGATGTAGTATAAATCAACGAATGGAGACCAGAGGATTTTAAAACTGAATGGAACAGTGCACATCATCATTATACCAATCTCAGAATAGGTCAAATACTTCTTAAATATGATAGGGAAAGAAGAGAGGAATAGTCCTAAAGGTAGACCCTATGATTATAAGAAAAATCTAATTACTTGGAAAGAGTACAAAATAGAAAGCAGGATCATCTTAGATAGATCTTTCATAAATAAACTTCTGGAAGCAGCTTTCTTGATATTTTCACCACTGTTGCTATTACTCTATTAATCTTAAGTCATCTATTATAATTCTTGATTATTATATTTATTATAAATAAATGCAATATTTTTCATTTTGGGGTTTTGGGGTTTTGGGGTTTTGGGG